TCGATGATGATGATGATGCCCTCATTCGACGTCCGATGTTGTATGAAGGTAACTTTGCCTGTGCAATTCTCGGTTTTATGTGCGCCGAGATACTTCAGGGCTCAGAGGCCCGACCACAGGGCATCGGCGGTAGGTGTAAGAATAACACAATAATCTCACTTTTAAGTAACAGCTTTTCATACCTATTACAAATAACATTCTGGAGGGCTAAGAAAGTACGTTTGTCAGACCTCTCCATTGACCAACCTGAATTGTAAGGCTCTTCGGATGCCGCGTGGGCTTCCTGTAGTATATCTCAACTGGGTTGCTAAGATACTCTAACCATCGCACTATGGCGAATTTCAGTCTCTCCGTGACAGAATCATCAATATCGTTTTTTTTCATCATCGAGTACTTCAGACCATGTACATGTTGCACCCCAACTTCGCTCACCTATAATGGGTCGCTTGGAGACGGAAAGCTGGAGGCGAGTTTAGGAGTTGCATTCCAACTTCGGTGGTGACACCACATTGGTTTCGGAAGTTTTCCCCGTCGCGAAAAATCCGTAAGTTAGCTATGGATTCCGCGTGTGTATTTTTGGTTATGTTACCTCTTCATCATCATTCTCTTTTTAGTTCTTAACGTCACACGGACTTACAAAATGGCTTCTCGTGCAGCGAGCAAGATTGTTCGTAAAACCAAAAGTGCTGTGGACAATGTCATCCACCCTCCATATTTGCGGGTCGATATACCAGCTCAGCAAGCCAGACCTGCTCCACCCCTGGGACCACAGTTAGGCAAGGTTAGCCTTGTTTCTTTAGTTATTCATAACAGCGGAACATCAATGTTGCAAACTTCTGCAAGGATTTCAATGAGAGAACTAAGGATATCAAGGAGGGCACCCCGATACCTTGTCATATAACGGTAAACGTAAGTTACTGGTTTTTGCGTGCTTCACTCAGTCTTCATTCAGCCTGATCGCTCGTATAAACTGGAAATGACGCACCCTCCTTCCGTTTATTTACTTCGACTGGCGGCGGCGACAAAGAAGGGGTCCGCCGATTCAGGTTAGTTTCCTCTCATTAGGTTCTATCTACAAGCTTTTCTGGTTGCGAATTAAAATTAGTTGAACTCGAAGTGTCGAGAAGTAAGGTCATGAAGCTTGTCATGGTCACTGTAAGCTCATCCTTGACATCTCTATAGCTCCTGTCTAAGCATTTTTAATCCGTACAGTATATGCAATGTGCTTTTGTATCATACATCCCGTGGTTGGTATGGTCGACTTGCCATCGAATTGGCAACTAATCGCTGTATCGTGTTTGCTACCGGCTAACACTGCCCTGTTTTCGTTAGCCTGCGAGTCTTGGTGCTCTTGTTGAGCAGATGTGCGATGTGAACGATGGGTTGTGATACAAACGGATGTTTAGCCTCTCGAACAACAGTTTCTGGTGACCAGAGCCAGAAGCCGGTGTTCGTACAGGTTTGTGCACACGTGAGCATGTAGAGAACTGTCAGCTTTAACCAGATACTAATCGTTTCATGCTTCTAACACATACAGATGCCTACTAAAGGTGACGAAGTATGGTTTGCAGTGGTGTCTGCCAGAATTTGACCAAATTTTACTGTGTGATTATCTTCGGACGATTTGATACAACCGTCAAGCGACGTTTTCTGCAGCTCATCCCCCAATGAACCAACGGGTGCTCTGCTAACACCTCGGGCTGGAGGTGGCATTGAAGTCATATTTTAGTGTTCGAAATGTATCGAAAACGCCCCTGAAACGTGCACCGTTTGTTGTCCAGAAACAGCGAACGTCGGTCGATTGAACGATCAAATTCAGAGGATTAAACATATGGAAGGTCTTGATCATTCAGGAAGGCCAAGACCGCTGGTCAGCGGTTGTCATTGTATGTTACGTAATTTGCACTGATTTGTGCTCGGAGCTTGATCGCTTTTTTCTTTTTTGTCTTGTTTGAGTCCGATTGTGTAGCATTGCGCGTACACGTCACCCTATCTATCCAAGCACAGGCATATAGCTCTCAGTTGTGGATGGTTTCAGGACTTGTAGACTGTAAAGTCCTCCTCCTGTCCTGGCACAATTATTGTGGTCAGTACACACCAAACCGGGAGAGCGCTGGTTTCGAGCTTCGTTCGTATTAGAACCCATCCACTGTGCATATCGTTGGCCGTTTCAAGGTGTGAACTCTGAATATCTGACGTGCGAGGCGATCCTGTTACCACAGCTCCACCAGCGCACACTGGACGCACCTGAATCACCAGGTCCAAGCAGCCGAGTATATGCACGCTTGAACAATGTGATAAGTCTGCGCGATGCCTTATGTTCTCATAGCAAAAAACATCCGGCACTAGTAACTACCCGTTAACTTATGATATAAACCAGTGCTTCGGTCTCAGGGAAATTAGTGTAAATGTTATTGGGGTCAATACAAAAGGTGAATCACTCATGATTATCTTTGTTCACTTGCAAACAAGTGAAGTGCAGGTTCCAACCAATAGCCATGATTACATATAACCTGGACTCAATGAAACAATAACCTCAGCAGCGTAGGTCTTGATCGGACAGTGTGACCATGTTAATGAATATTGCCGACAGAAGGGGCCTGTGAAGTGGCAAGGGTCTCAAGGATATCAAGTTTTCTGTGGAATTTTCCGGCAAAGTTAACTCCACCCCCACCACAAACCATCGCAGGATGTTGTGCACACCTCATGCAAGCTCTACAAAGACAATGCAGGATCCAGACAGCTTAGGGTATTCCAGGATGTTACAAGCTCTTGGACGAAACACGGTTGGTATTCAGTAAGTACCGGGCAATAGCAACAGACGGAAGAGGGTAGTTGTTTCCGCATTGACAACTATCTCTACAAAAGAATCGGTTAATAAACAGCGTGAAATAAGAAAATGAAATCAACCCTAGCACAAATTGGTGGGAGCGGAAAAAAGGCAGTGAGGTAGCAGGGTTTTCTGGAAGCAGTAATGAGTAAATACGAAATGTCGTGCAAACGTACAGACATAAACGCTCAGACAGTGTAAACAAGCAGTATAAAAAATGTAAAAATCGTTCAGCTGTAGCACCCTTTCGGTGCCTAACTGCCATCCCACCCCAAGGTTGCACGTGGGCTGGGATGCTGCCAGGTCGCCCAAGCCTAGACAGGGGAAGTCGAGAGGCGGAGGTCGGGTTCGAACCACGGACCTTCTGGTCAGTAAATTCGCTCTCTACCTACTTGGGCCACCTCGCCTCCAACAAGCAGTACACAGGAATTAAAGTCAGTGTGTTCAGAATGTAGCTCTTAATCAAAAGGAAGATGAAATTTACCTGGAATAACAGGTATCGGGTGAGTGCGGCACGAAAACAAATGCACTCCCAGTCTTTAACGGATATCATTCCAAAGTAACACGTGCAAAAAATACAACTCGCTCTTATGCCCTTTCAAAACGGAACCAGCGGACTCTGTCAGGCAAGAGGTAATGGAAAAGAATTAGTAAAAGATAGTTGCCCTAGGAGTGAGCTTAATGATCATCGACAGCATGAGCTTAATATGGTGGTCGGTTGCTATCTAGGGGTAACAGGTCCAATCCCCGATACGGTTGTCTTTTTGCAAGGAAGACAATCGAAAATGGCTGCTTCATGTCCGTTCACCAGAACCCGTTCCTCAGTTTTTTCTCAACTCTCCTTCCGCCAGAACCATCGTTGTTTTCCACTCCACACCCGTGCTAGCGAAAAGTTCGTGGAGGACATGCCAGGACTTCGCAATGCGAAATTAGAGCGACTGCTGTCAATTTGCGTCCTTTGGGATCTTCGCGCTCTCGTTGCACTGTTTGGAAACTCCAAACGGAGGGAAACACTGGGTTCCGCTCTTATTAGAGCACATCAGCAGTGCATATCCAATAGCCGTGTCGGGTTTTGAGCGCGCACATCTGACATGCGATGCGAGCGTGTTAACACTACCCCACCATGGCACGCTGGACTCATCCGGTTTCTAACGTCTGAACAGGTGAACATGTTCGCGCTTAAGTGATGTGAGCGGAACGCCCGACGCCTCGTACGACGACCAGTGACACACCTTGGTTGTGTCGATCGATTGGCCCACCAGTCAAGCAGCGTGACTTGCCTAATTCGGAGTGTCGGAAACGAAAGCTTCTAGCCTCACCAATGTTGACTGACAACAAGCACCTAACACTCACGCACCCCGATATTTGTCCACTCGACACGTCGAAACAACCTGCACTGAACTTAGAGGCAAAAACCTTTCAGCAGCTAGTGTAGGATCGGCTTACATTTCTAAATCCAAAATAACCTATCTTGGTGGAGGTCTATTTTCTTTTCCTCAGTTGCTGTTACTCAATACCCCTTCCCATGGATTGTCTGATGCCACCAACCAATCTCGAGGAATCTGAAATCCATAACGGAAACCTAGTGCATACCTTACTTCCGCACCACGGAGATGTCCGTTCCAGGTCTCACCAACCACGCGAGACTGGCAGTCAAGAATTGGAGGTGCAGCTCTCTATCACAACAGTAACTTCTTACACAACCTCAGTGATCTCACACTCCTTTTAGTTGAGGGCATGCTGTTCCACAGTCTTTCACTAGACAGCAGAGCATCAGTGTTGAACACTAACGTCATGCGGTCGATGATGATGAAAGCTGTTTCGTAGCAGTTATTTACCATCCTAATTTTCGCGTCCTCGATGCTGTTCGTGCTATGGCCTGCCTCAGTCACTCCCACATTCTCTTTATGAGGGACTTCGCCGCTCCATCCCTTACGGACAACCTTTCCAATGGCATTGCCCCCAAGGACACTGATTGACCACATGAACCCAAGGATACAGTTGGTATTTTAAAGTTTCGTATTTTTTCTTACCCTGAGATAATTCCATGAGTGGCCGTTTCTCCCACTGTGTTCATCTTTTTCGGTTCGGTAATAAGATGTTTGCTGGTTGTTGCTTTGTTCTATGAGCTCAGCAGTCTGGTCGCATGCGTTTCACTCTAACATGTATGTCAGTTCCGCTTGTGCGAATATAAAAGAGCCAGCAAAATGAAACTTCTGGTTCGTTGGATGACACATACTGCAGGGAATATTACAGTCGTCACACTGAATTTATCATTTTTGACTTTACATCAGATTTCTGTGCTGACACCTTAAATTCCTATGGAGTCGTTTTTGTATTTAACCGAGACGTCCTACAAAAGGTGCCTGAATGTCCTAACACAAATTGTCCATTCTCGCTATCGCCAGTGAACCTCAATCGTCCACCAGATTTACTGGGGGTAACTTGAATATTTTGCATGTGATTGTCTATCATACTGCACCCCAACGGTGATTGGCGACACAAGTTTGGATAGCCTTGATTTTGTGTATTGCTGATTACTCCGTTTCGTTTTATAGGAACAGAAGTATGTGGTCGTCTGACTCTGAAGCACATCTACCATATCGCAGAGATGAAAAAGCAGGATCCAAAATATGTGACACAGGATCTAAAGAAGATCTGCACCACTTTGATAGGAAAGGCACATCGTCTGGGGATCGAAGTGATTTCTAAAGAGGCACTTGATTCTGGCCAGACCGATCACTCCCCCGCTGGCTATGCCGAGTTCTTGGAAAAACGAGACCAATATCTGGAGGAAAAGAAGAAGGCTGCTGACGAGAAGAAACAAGCGAAAATGTTGCGGCTTTGATATCACCTAGTTTGTACCTGAATGGTAAGCACGCTTGTCGGACCTAATCTGGTATTCACTCTCAACTCATGTGCCTTAGGATCTGTCTTTAGCAAGAATGCCAAACTACTCCCGGATCGGGATAATGAACGAAACTTTTTCTGTATACCTATATGTGTAGCAGCTCAACTACGAGCGATCGAATTTCGCAAACTGGACGCTCGGATTTTGGACATGGTTGCATAGAGAATCACAACATTGCCACCAAACAGGTTTCTAAAACTGATATTTCAGCCAGTGTGTGTCAGCAAATATACTCCATTATCCTATTATCGTTGAGTGGTCTCGACGAGTAACAATGACTCATAAGGAGCAATAGAGTGAGGCTGAAACAGAATCAATCGAAAGGCCATGTTCAGAAACCAAGGAGTTTCAGACCTGAGTGAATACTTTCTTCAACTTACGGTGTCTGGCTCTCAGCTGATGTAACGTCAAAAGTCACGTAATTATGGATATTCTCAGGGCAATGTGGTCATAAGGTTAACACTAAAACAACGAAGTCAGCTTCTCCTTGAATTATGAATTTCAGACACTCGCGTCATATTCTCGAATTGGATTGTCAAGCGTCCGAACTCGTTGACTTCTTAAACAGGAATATCAGTTGATAATTTGAACCGTACGAAAATTTATATTCTGAACGTTTTTAACAGCTGCGTAGCAAATATGTAAAGTTTTTAGAGATAATTTTGTCCGAAAATGTTCGAGTTTGTACCTGTCCGGATGCATGTAAACTGAAGCTGTGTCCCAAAGTAGCGAAACCACGTCGCGTTCGAGCGATACTAGACTAGCAGGTTGTTGTAAGCTCTGTTTCGAGCCATTCATCTATCCGATATAGCCTTTGATGTTATTGCATGCTGCGCACTTCGGCTGAACCAACAATACGGCTGGGATATACTTTTTGACATTATTGCCCTCCCATCCGGGTGTGAGTCCATACTTTTGGGCTACACTGAATAATGTATTCACCAGCGGTGGGAACCACGTTTGAATGCGAGTGCAACAAGCAGGAGGCGAAAATTCTTCTGTAACCACCTGAGGCCAGACGCATCGATGATAGGTTATTCGCCCACTACGCAACCATGTCTGGTAGGAATGTTAGTGTGGAATATCCCTAAACCGTTCTTGACCTAAAGCTGCCACCTTGACGTGGTGGTCGGGCTTCAGTGCTGCAACGATCCTGCGGGCTACACTGGCTGGAACTTCGTTCCACAAGGTGCAACCATGCCAGGAAGGCCAAAGGGGAGCAGCCAGACCAAGAACATCGAGACCCCATACTACGAGTAATCGTGCTACGAGGCGGTCTG